CCCACACTGCCCACCCTGCACCCCAACATCCCTTACACCCTGCACCCCAACACCCCTTACACCCTGCACCCCAACATCCCTTACACCCTGCACCCCAACATCCCTTACACCCTGCACCCCAACACCCCTTACACCCTGCACCCCAACACCCACCCTGCTTTCCAGCACCCCAGCACCCCTTGCACACCTCCCCTATTTACACCCCATGTACCCCAACAGCCCCTTGCACCCCTTGCACACTCCCCCCTCTTCTTGCACCCCAACAACCCTTTGCACCCCCTTTACACACTGCTCCCTCCCCGCACCCCGACACTTCCTGCACCCTAAACACCCTTCGCACCCCTTTGCACACCCCTTACACGCCCCCTCTCTTCTCGCACCCCAGCCGCCTCTGCACGCCCCTTACACACCCCCAGCACCCCACGCGTGTTCTCCCACTGGCACCAGCGCAGATCCCGGCCCCCAGACCCCCATACGCGTACCCCCGGGGCACCCCAGCCCCCCGTACACCGCCGGTACCCCCCGACCCCATCCCCGGTACCCCGGGCGGGTCCCCCCGGAGCATCGCGAGCACCCCCGATCCCCGCACCCCCCGGAGCATCCCGGGGTACCGCGGCACCCGCATTCCCGCTACACCCCGAGTACCCCCGACCCCCGCACCCCCGGGGGTGCCCCCCGTGCCCCCCCGCGGGCACCTTGACCGAGTCCACGGGGTACATGACCGTGTGCTCCATGATTCCCGCCACCGCCCCGGCCACCATGTGCGTGCCGAGCGCGGCGCCGCTGGGCAGGCTCTCGTACTCGTCCCCCTCCGCCACGGCGGGGCCGGGGGGCGGCCCCGGCCCCGGGGGCGCTGCGGGGGCGCAGCTCAGCTCCATGCGCGGGGGGACGCGGGGGGACAGCACGGGGACGCGGCGGGGCCGGGCGGGCACAGGGACCGCGCGGCGCCACCGCCTCCCTTTAAAGCCGCGCCCCGCCCCGCCCCGACGCGCTCATTGGCTGATTCTCTGTAACGTCACTAGATTGGCAGCGCGGAGAACGAATGGTAAAGAGAGGTGACGGAATGAAGAGTGACGATTGGCTGCGCTGTTGGGGGGGCGGGCTCGGTGAGGGGGACGCGCGGTCCTAAAGTCCGGCTGAGGGCGGGGCTGGGGAGGGCGCGGGTCCTGCGCTGGAATTGCGCTGGATTTGCGCGGGAGGATGCGGCGCTCCGGCTCCAAAGCGTGGTTTAGGATGGAGAACGCGGTGTCAGACATGTGGGTGGCATAGGTGTAGTGTCCTCAGGAGGAAATAAAGTAATAAAGTAATAAATAAAATAAATGTAAGAAATAAAATAAAATAAGAAACAAAATAAGAAATAAAATAATAATAAGTAAGATAAGAATCTTATCTTATATAAAAGAATCTATAATAAGTAAAATAATAACAATCATAAATAAAATAATCAATAAATAAAATAAAAATATTAATATAAATAAAACAGCACAATAAAAAGAAATAAAATAAAATTATTTTACATAGTTATGGTTTATTGTTTTACTATTTTAATTATTTTATATTACGTATTTCTAAATTATTATTTATATCTTTTATATTATTATTTCTCTGTTCCACCGTGCAATCAGCCCAAAGCAGTTCAATTTGACCCTCTCAGAGAGCAGGAGGCAAAGTCTTCGTGGCCCAGGGCGCCGGGAACAGCCCTGACTTTATTTCATTCCTCCTCAAAGGATTATTTGGAATTCGACCTTGCGGGGAAGGAGGTGTTTGTGGCGTGAGCTGAAATCAAGGTTAACCATTTCCACGATAATGCGAAGCAATTTATTGCTGAGTGAGCCTCGGGGAGGAAGAAAAGCACCCTCAGAGCCCAGAAAAAAAGCAGGACAACAAAGTGGGGGTTTTTTCTCATCCATGAAATGAGGTGAGAAAATCCAGGTCTGCTCCTGCCCTCACCTCCCGGGAGGGATCTGGAGGGATTCTGCACGTGCTGTCCTGCTCCCTCATTCCCATGGTTGTGCTGGGAAGCCTCTGTTCCCGGCGGGAACATGGAGCAGCTGGAGAAAACAACAATGACAACAACAATGACATGGCCACGCCTGATTGATTTTGGGTACCTGGCAGTGCTTTCTGCACCCAAAGCGGGGTTTGTGCAGGAGGTGGGAGAGCTGGAGCTGAGACCTGGCCATCCCACCATCCCTGAGACCAGGAATCACCCACCTGGAGAAAGCAGAGACTCCAAAACCCTTCTCCAACACCAAATTTAACCCAGGAATTGCTAAACCCCCCCTTCCTTTCCCCCTGGCAGAAGCCACGGGATTATCACACCTTTGTTTCATCCTGAAGAGACTAAATCCGTGCTGCTGACACATCTGACACTGTGTTTTCCAGCCCAAGTGACATTTTAGAGCTGTGTCCCCCCCTGGAAACCCAGTAGACAGCTCGCCCTGGGTCTGCCACACACGAACCAAACGTGGCCACCAGAAACTTCCCCTTCTGTGACTCAGGGAAATGCCCGAAATAAAACTCACAGGGGAACATTTTCCACTATTGCTCCACAGGGTTTTATCTGGGTTTTCTCCTCCATAAACAAGAATCAAAGGCGCTTTAATCTCCTCCCCGTGCCTTCAGCAGGGCAGGGAGGGGGAATTAAAGTGTCACTTACCCTAATGAGCCCTTTCCCTGCAGCCTTGGGTCCTGCTCCCTGATAATGACGTGAATCAGTGTGGAATAGGTGCTGCTCCCAGGTAGGAACAGGTTATATTTTAACCCTGGAGCAGTGACATGAGGAATCCTTTCTGCTCCTGCTCCAAGGGCAGCTCCTCCAGCCTCAGATGCCCAAGAAAAAGCACAGGCTGAGGATTTTCCCCGTGTTCACCAAGAAGGGATGAAATTATTCATTGTTTGTGCAAGGAAAGTGAGGCAGAGAGGCTGCTCTGGGTTCTGGGCTCGTTGTGTTCCATGTTTTCAGGAAAAGGGGCAGTTTGTGTGTCTGGGGTGGTTCCTTTCCACCCCAGCCCGGCAAAGAAGAGTCATGGACAGAGTGAACTCAAATTCATCTGCAAAACCTTCCTTGGAAATGGTCCTGTGCAGTGATTCCCTCGCTGTTCCCTTCCCAAGGGCACAGCCCCTGCTTGGTGAATCCCATCCTGGAGATCCCTGGGCTCAGCAGGGGCCTTGGGAATCTCCACGAGCTCCAAACTCCGTCGGAGCAGGGAAACAGCAAAGGGAAAATATCTTTGTGCTGCTAAAAGCACGTTTTGGCTGCAACAAGCTCAGCCTGGAAGTGTCCAAGGCCAGGCTGGACAGGGCTTGGAGCAACCTGGGAGAGAGGGAGGTGTCCCAGGGGGTGGGAGAGATGGGGATTATCCTGGAGAAGAGAAGGTTGTGTGGAGACATCACAGCACCTTCTGGATCCAAAGGGAAGGAAAGACCTAAAAGGAAAACAGAGGGAGGTTCTTCCTCAGGAATTGGAGTGGCAGGACAAGGGAAATGGGTTCCCACTGAAAGAGGGGAAATTTAGGTTGGATATTGGGAAGAAATTCCTCCCTGTGAGGGTGGGGAGGGGCTGGGACAGAATTCCCAGAGAAGCTGTGGCTGCTCCTGGATCTCTGGAAGGTGTCCCTGCCTGTGGCAGGGGGTGGGACTGGGTGACCTTTCAGATCCCTCCCAACCCAACCCATTGCACGATTCCATGATTTACACACCCCCAAGTCTGTGGCAAACCCCCCCTGCAATCTGCAGCCACGTTGCATCACTGTGGGCAGCCAAAGGAAGAGATGAATCAGCCCCAAGGAGGGGTCACAGCCCCAAAACAGCCCAAATACAGCACAAGAAGTGAAGACACCGGTGCAAGGCTCCTGCTTTCCCCCGTCCCTGCCCACAGCAGGTGCCCACAGCCCCCTGGAGCATCTGCCTGGCACCCCCAGCTGATTACAGGGCCCTGGGCTGGCTTATCGTGCTCCTTCAGGGGCAGGAGCTGCTGGACCCACCCAGATAAGGCAGGAGGGTCCAGCTGGGAGGTGGGCACAGGACCTGGGGCTTTATCTCCACCACCCACCGGGATACATTTGAATTTTTTTCTCCCCACTTTTCAAACCTACAAACCTCTATAACAGCTGAGCAGCACTTTGCTGGAGGGAGGGTTTTGTCCTTTCCATGAGCTGCCACCGCCTTCTCGGTGCAAATTGCCAGACATTTTAGTTTAATTGACAGATTCTGGACCAGATAATGGGGTTTTTCCTTTCCCTGGAGGGTGGGGAGGCCCTGGTACAGGGTGCCCAGAGGAGCTGTGGCTGCCCCTGTATCCCTGGAAGTGTCCAAGGCCAGCTTGGAGCAACCTGGGCTGGTGGAAGGTGTCCCTGCCCATGGCAGGGGCTGGAATGAGATGGTTTTAAGCTCCCTTCCAACCCAAACCACTCTGGGATTCCACAATTTTTAATTGTGGAAAGGAAAAAGCACCGGTTTATGGCCTTGTAGAAAGCCTTTAAGAGAGGGATCAGAGCAAATGGATGTGGTTAATATGTTTTTAATCTTATTTGCAGAACAACCAGCCTGAACTTTATACCCCCACGGCCATTTTTTTTTTCTTTTTTTTGCCAGCTTTGGTGCCAGATCCTTTTGAAGGGGAAAAAAAAGCAGTTTTCATGTGGGAACTGCACATCCCAGGGCAAAATTCCCCATCCCACATCCCTCTTCCCAGCATACCCCAACCCCATCCTTCCTTAGAGATGCCTCAAAATACAATTTAAACAGCGAGTCTGGACCTCACTCCCAGAACCATCCTGAGCTCCAAGGCAACATCAGTCTCAGGAGATTCCCTGGAAAAGGGTCCTTTGGCACCAGCCCGGGTTTTCCTGCCCACCTGGCTGCAATTTGTGATGCCCCTGGGAATGGAGAGCCACGGGGAAACATCATCTGCTCAGAAACATCATCTGTTCCAGTTATTTTGTTTATCTCCAGCTCAGCAAACACCAGGAAAATAAGCAAACAAACTTGTTTTGTCTTCGAGGTGAAGTGACCCACTTATAGGAACAGCAGCACAGGGCACCCCCAGCTTTGAAGGGGAATATTAATCAGAGGAAATATTAATCAAGGAAATATTAATCAGAGCAGGGATTAATGTGGGGGGTTAAAAGTGGGGAAGCCCATCAGGATAAACCAACTTGACTGTTTCGAGGAGGAGGTGGCAGAGCAGGATCATCCCCAGCTTTAAAACAGGATCATCCCCAACCCTAAAACAGGATCATCCCCAACTTTAAAACACATTCCTGCCTCCTTTTTGCCACAAAACACCAAGGAACTGGTTTCACAGCCAGGTCTACACGTGACAGCAGCACAGGGCTGATGCCAGGGAGGGCCACCAGCAAAGAAAATTAGTGAGAACTGAGCCCTGCTGGGGCTCCAGGGGGGGTTATTCCATCCCCAAAACTGCCCAAATGGGAAAACCCAGCACTGCAGCTCCCCCAGAGCCACCCAAACAGCTCCAGCCCCCTTGGCACTTATGCAGCCTCGGAGGTGAAGGTGTGGACTCCAGGAATTTGGCCTCTGGGTTTTATTTCAGCGCTCACATAATCTGACCTAATTTACCATTCCCGAGCTCTCTGGATTAGTGGGACAGGGAGAGGCAGTGCCCAGTGTGTGTAATTAAATGTGCTTTTGGATTATTTCCTGGACCAAATTTTTTGTTTGTTTGGTTTTTTTCTCCTCACCAACTTGCCTTTCTGGTTTGAAGCCCTGAGGAAACAATGGGAAGGTGCAGCCCCACACTGGTGGTGCTCCCAGGGTGGACTGGTGGCACTGGGCAGAGCGGGCTGGGAGGATCCCACGGGGTTTGCTGGGTTTGGGAACGGGTGCCCTTTTGTTTTCTGGCTTTGTTTCTAGCAGTCAGGAAAAATTAGATCCGGGAAAAAAAAAAAAAAAGGGGAAAAGCCCAGCTTGTGGTTCAGGGAATGTAAATTTGGGGATGATCCTGGGAAAGAGGAGGTTGTGTGGAGTTCTCAGAGTAACCTTCCAGTGCCTAAAGGGGCTCCAAGGGATCTGGAGAGGGACTTGGAGAAGGGCCTGGAGGGACAGGACAAGGGGGAATGGCTTCCCACTGAAAGAAGGGAAATTGGGTTGGATATTAGGAAGGAATTCCTCCCTGTGCGGGTGATGAGGGACTGGGATGGAATTCCCAGAGAAGCTGTGGCTGCCCCTGGATCCCTGGAAGTGTCCAAGGCCAGGTTGGATGGGGCTTGGAGCAACCTGGAACAGTGGAAGGTGTCCATGCCCATGGCAGGGGGTGGAACTGGATGATTTTACAGTCCCTTCCAACCCAAACCATTCCAGGATTCCATGATCCTGCTCTGCCACTGCCCCCTCTCATGGCCTTGGTCAAATTGTTTAATTGTGATGAGCTTCACCACTTCTCATGGGCAAATAAATGTGATTAAAAGAGAAAAAAAGGCTGGAATGAGGGCTCTGCAGATGGGGCTGGGGCTGCTGGACAGTCTGTGCAGGTAGAAGAAAAAAAACCAGCTTTATCTCCCCTAAATCCAGCGCGGGGCTCCTTTGGAATGGGAATCGGGGCCTTTGAACAAATAAACACAGAAAGGCACGAAGGAAAGGCCAGCTGGGAGGCACAGCCCAGCTCTGCCTGCTCCTCCACGTCCCCCCTGACACCATCCCAGTCCCAGCCGGGGCTGTTCCCCCCCCGATCAGCAGCGGCAGCCGCGGCCGGTCCCGTATCGGCGCATCCCGGTGCCCGCCGATAGCGGGCAGGGCGCGGTGGGTGGGCGCGGTGCTCCCCCGAGATAGGGACCAGCACCCCCCGCACACCTTGCCCGGCCTCTCCGGGGTGTCCCAGAGGTGCTTTCCCCCTTGGAAAAGGCCCGATTCCCAAATCCCGCTGCGGGTCCTTCTCCGCCTCCGCTTGCTCCCGGTGATTTCGGCAGCGCGGTTTCATCCCGGATTCCCCCAGAGCGCTTGGAAAAACCTTCCCCCCGCGCTCCTCGGAGCATCCCAGCCAGAATCCGGCAGCCGGAGGGAAGGTTTTACTCCCGCGGGTGACGACGGAAGGAAAAAATTCCCACCAACCCCGTTTTCCCCGGAGCGGAGCGCGGGCAGCTGGAAATAATTCCCGCACAAAACCCCCCCGCACATTCCCGGCCGGTTCCCATCCCGTGCCCCCTGCACGCTCTGCCAGCAAGGGCGCTTAGCAGCAGCTCGGAACTTTTCCCTGTTTTCCAATATTTTTGACCCCCAGCCCAGCCTGGGCAGAGCTCTGGGGACACAAAAACCCCGGGAAAACATCCCCTCAGGGCAGCTGGATTGATGGCTTTTTCCTTTCCCTTTTTCCTTTCCCTTTTTCCTTTCCCTTTTTCCTTTCCC